ACGCCGCCATCACCGGCATCCTCATCTACCTCACCAACGAGTGAGTACTCTGAGCTTGCAGGGGCCAAAGAGGTTGCCGCCAGCCGCCCATCTGGCGGCTCGGGACTCCCGGCCCGCTCCTGCCAGCCCTGCCCTTCCCTGCCTTGTATGTATGGAATCACACAACTGGCACAAGGACCCCACATTGCCGTCTGAGCCTGTGCGTGCCCCGCTACACCTCGCCGCAGGGTCCTGGTCAACAAGAGCGGTCTGCCCGGGTCAAACGGCAGCGACACGCGTGCCGACATCACTGCCGCTGGCCTGATCGTGGTGCTCATCGGCAACTACCTCCAGATCGCGCTGGCGGCTCTGCACGACGTGGAGGACAAGGCAGAGGGCCATGCCGCGCCACTGAAGGAGGTGGTCTGAGCATCATGGAGGCAGAACGGGGGCCCGCGATGCGCTGCAGGCCACACTGGCCATGGCGGGCACTGCGCGACCCCCCCACACAAACCCAACCACCCCCTTGCTATCTATGTATGTGTGCCACACACGCTGAGCCATTTGCGCTGCCGGAATTGGCTCACCGCCCATCGGGGCTCCTGCCCGACGGTCGGTTGCCTTGCCTTAAACCATGCCTACCCATTGTGACAAGCATCGGCAAGGGTGAAACATGTTTACAATGTACAACCTGCAAGACCTTGGGAAGACGCAGAATTTCAGCCTGCGCCTGCGCCTCCAGCTCAGCGGCAACTTCCTGGCAAGTCCAGTTGGGATTTGGGCCCGAAGTCTCTTGACGAAGAGCAGGAATGCATTATTATCAAAATTTTCACTAGCATCACTCTGCTCATCAAGCCAAAAGGACGTTCCACAGCAAGCTGCGCGCCCGCAACCCAGACGCTGGCCCGACGGTGATTCACGTGCTTTCGATGCGGTGCCGCGTGATCGTGCAGGCTGCAGAATGCCCGCAGGCGCTCCAGCATGCCTGTCGAGGCTGCCGCTGCCGCCCGCCTTCCTGCACCTGCTGCCGCAGCAACCCGCCGCCCACCGCCGGCCTCTCTTTCTTTCCATGCAGGCACCAGCCCCCAGCTGCCGCCATGACCTTCCCAGCCGACCTCATGCTGCGGGGCGGCACTGCGGTGTGCCGCTCCGTGCTGGGGCAGACCTCTCTCGACATTGACCTGGCCGCTGCCAGCCCGGCACCTGCCGCCGCTGCCACTTCCGCTGTTCGCGAGGCCGTGCGCCTCTACCTGGTGTTGGACAACTCGGGCTCCATGGCGGGGTCCCCGCTGGACACAGCCAAGCTCGCAATCATCAGGTTAACGCAAGCGGCGGCGGCGGCGGCGGCGTGATGGAGGCCTGCTGGCTGGTGGAATTCAACACTTTGACCCGCGCCCACAGCCTGCTGGGCCTGGGCGGCGCCCAGATCGAGGAGGCGGTGAGTTGTAGAGCATGATGTGGTGGGATGGCGGTGGCAGCGGCGGCGGTGCAGTTTGGTTCGACTGAGTGCGCCAGCGGGAGCATTCACCGGTCTCACAAGAGGCCCCCTCGCCCCAAGCTTGCTTGCCAACCAGTGCCCCTGCGGCCACCACCGCACCGCAGGTGGGCGCCATCCGCGCCGGCGGCAGCACCTGCTTCCATCGCGCGCTTCCACGCTGGCTGACCTGGCGGCACCTCCGCCCCGCTGGGCGCCGCCGCCGCCGCCGCCGCCGCGGCAGCCGTCACGGCCGCCAGGCACTTCGTCGTCTTCTTCTCCGATGGCTGCGTAGCGTTCCTGTGGGAGCGGGGCACCGAGGCGATAGTGGGCAGCGGGACACGGGGCGGTGAGGCACGGCCATGCGGCCGGGCACAGGCAGCCCCCCCAACTTGGTGCCGGCTGCTGCCAGCTGGGAGGCATACCGCCATAGTGCCGCAGCCAATGCCCCTGGGTGGGCCAGAGGATGCCCGCGGGGTCGATGGTCTCCATGGTGCAGCCCAGCTCCGCTGCAGCTCCCGGGCAGCCAGGCACGCCCGGGTCTGAGTGTCCTCGCGCCGGGCGCCCAGCTGCGCTGCTGCCACCTTCTGGAGGGTGGCCTGCCGGCTAGCCAACACCTCCGCTGGCTGGCGGCATGGGGTGGGGGCCGGGACAGGCGCGGCCCCCAGCGCCCAGCCCAGGCGTTCCTGCTGCAGCATGCTGCGCAGCGCCATGCTGGAGGGCAGACGGCTGGGTGCGGCTACCCCGGCCTGCAGAAGGACAACCACAAGGACTGGATCAAGTGTTGTCATTTGCAGCCCAGATTGCTCTGCCCTGTTGTTGGGAGCGGCTTGTTAGCTATAGCCGTTGGGGATGGCCAGGGTGGTGGTTGGGGAGACGGCCAGGCTCCCCGCCCTCAGTGGTACCGCATGCCGCCACCCCCGCTCTGCCAGTCGCACCACCGTGACCCATCCCTCCCTCTGACTGACTGACTGCAAGCTTGCTCTTGCTAATATACGGACTGTAAACCCTCTCAAGCATGGACGCGCTGGCCTGCTAGCCTGAAGCACTCAGTGTGCTGGGAGGCTCCCAGGGTTCAGCTTTGGCTGCCAACCAGGCAGACCAAAGATCTGGGCAGCCTACCTCGAAATCGAAGGCAACCTACCTGAATTCACTCACCCACCTGGTGTGCTGCTGGAGCAACACGTGGCGCACTGCCGGGCAAGTTATCCGATGGAGGAAGCCCGCACGACTCCTCAAAACCCGCTGATTCCACTCCTTTAGCTCAATTTGCAACCCCTCTCCAATCGAGCAATTGTTGCAAGCAACACGAACACAGGTACGTGCTGTAGTGGTAGACGTAAGCTTGGCTGCACGTCGGCTGCTCTTGCAGGTTCTCCCTTGCAGCCGCACCAGCCCCCTCGAACCTTACACTCCCCGATGCATCGCGCCACAAACGGGGCTGCCGGCAGAGCTGTCAACCAGCTTGCGTGGTCACCCATCACTGGCATTGCCATGGCCATGCCTGTTCAGCAGGATGGCAAACCTCATAGTAGCCTTCGCCGCCATCTGGATCCTCACGCTGGCCGGTGGGCTAGTCGTGGCTGGCGGCCTGGGCGCCCTCACCGCGGTGAGAGGGCTGGGTGGGGGCCGGAGCGCTCGCCGCGCTCCTTCCTCCCCCTCCAGAGCGCTGCGGCCAGCAATGCCAATGGGAT